AGCCTCATCTTTCTCCCGCGGAGCGGCTGGTAGTTTCGAACCGCTGACCTTAAGGTTCGCAGCCCGATTCGTAACCACTACGCTACCAGAGAATAGCCATCTTTATTTTGTTGGGTGTTACAGTTCATGAACATGGAATGCCTCTCCATTAATGTAGCACTATGTAACTTTCAGCATACAGATTCGGTACACATTTTATAACTTTGTACCTAAGTAAGCATTTCTTTCATTAGCACTATGTAACTTTCAGCATACAGATTTGGTACACATTTTATAAGTTTGTACCTAAGTAAGCATTTTGTTTTCTTTGCAGTAGTTGTAAATAGTTTTTAATATCAGTTTCCACACATTGACTTTTAGGATATAGAAACATGGTTGACATGTATCTATGTTGATCTTGTAATTTATAATCTTACTGAATTCACTTTATTAGTCCTCTTAGGGTTGTGGTTTTTTTGGTGTATTGATAGAGTTTTTCTGCAGACAATCATGTCCTTTGCAAATAGAAACGGTTTTATTTCTTCTTTTGCAAGTTGTATCCCTTCTCTTTTTTTGCCTTATTGCTGTGGCTAGAGCCATCCCTGCCTTGGATCCAAACTTGGTGGTGGTTATATGCCAAGGAGTTGTTTCCAACTCATAGTGACCCTGTACAGGGTTTCCAAGGCTGTAAAGCTTTATGGGAGCAGAAAGCCTCATCTTTTTCGTGCAGAACAACTGGTAGTTTCGAACTGCTGAACTTGCAGTTTGCAGGCCAATTCATAACCACTACGCTACCAAAGAGGGAAGCATAAAGGGAAGCATTCAGTCCTGCATGATGCTAAGTGTACATTTTTTATAACCAAAGATTTTACAGAATTAGTTTTGTTTTTGTTTTAGAAGAGGAAATCTAAATGAACACTTAAGGCTTGGCCCAACTGAAATGACAAAGCAAAAAAGACACAGCCAAGGAGAATTGAGTGCTTCCTCTACCAGCTGAGGAGCCCTGGTGTGGCGTTGTAGGTTAATGTGCCAGACTACAAAGCCATTTGAACTGCAAGGTCAGCGGTTCAAGCTCACCAGCTGTTCCTCGGAGACCTTGAAAACCCTATACAGGGTCGCTATTGGTCGAAATCAACTAGATGGCACTTAACAACAACAACTACCAGCTGGGTTTGCAAAAGAGAGAAAGCCAAGTTCTTTTCAAGAGGCTGGGGGCTATTTAAGCCCTAATTTGCGCTCGAAATCTCATCCCATTTACAAGATCCTTGCATTTTGCAGAGGACCGCCTTGGAAGTGCGGACATAAATTCCTTGTTCTAGAGGCCAGGCCTCATAGAATAGAGAACCCTGTTCCCTCCATGGCGGCCAGTCTCTCAGCCTGCCAACATGAGCTGGTGATAGGAGAGTCTCAGATACCCAAGTGCAGGATCGGAGGAGTGGCTTGAGCCAGATTTAGATTTGTGTGAGTTTTTGGCAGCGCTCATCTATAGATGAGAATGAGTTATGAAGCAGCAGCAGGAGCAAATTAAGCGTTCCAGGGCTGGAAAAAACAGACAGCAACGAAGTGCATCAACAGGGGTCAGGGATGGGTAGCTGTAATCTAAAGCTTGCAAAAAAGAAAAGAGGCAAGTCACACCCTCCCCTCCGGCAGGCTGACCCTCTCTAGGGTCCTGAGGCCTCTCGCTGCAGGCCTTGGCCCTGTTGCCCCGCCCATCCCCGCCCCCGAGACCGCTCCCCTCGCCTGCCCCACCCTCGGGATGGGCGGAGACCACACCTGCACTTGTGAAACCAACTAGAAAGTACTAACCGTGGGTGACGGGGACAGGTGAGTGAACGTGTGTGCCGCGGAGTAGGAAGGCGAGATTAGAAGTAAGAACGTTAGCATCTGCTAATGGCGGAGGGCCACGGCCGGATGGGGGCGCCTGGAGCCGGGCATGCGCCTGCGCGGGCCGGCTTCAGAGGATGGGCAGTCCCGGACGGTCCCCGGGCCTCCCCCGCCCACCCTGGCCCCCCTTCTTCTATGTGGTCTCCTTCCCCACGGTTCCTTCCTCGTGGGGGCGCGACCCACGCCGGGCAGTGGAACATTCCACTTCGAGGGGGGAGGCAGGGGCAGGGCCCACGACTGGATGGGAGGGGGGGTACCTGCAGCGGCCGCGGCGCTTGGGGGTGGAGGAACCGATGACTGCGTGGAGCCCCGCCCCCGGCCGCCGGAGTGGGCCCTCCGCTGGCCCCTCCTCCCGGGGTGCGGGCGGGCGGGCGCCCGAGAACACCGCCCCCGCGGAGCGCGGTGCGAGTCAGGCCGAGCCGGCGGGCCGCGCCGGCGAAGCTCCCCCCCGCCGCCCACCTAAGGTCCGGGGCTTGCTAGGCGGCACCGAATGCTGATCTCTGTCCTCTCCTTTTCCTCAGGCAGCTACTGTAGCGGCGGAGGCGGCAGCTTCGGGTACCGCTGGAGTCGGCATGCTGGAGAAATTGGAGTTCGAAGAAGAAGGTGAGTGTGCGAAACGCCCGACTAACTCCATCAGATCTCTCCCCCGCTGTAATGCGCCTTTCTTTTCCTGTCTTGGGGGATGTCGTGGAGGGGGAGGCTCCGTGCAGTGAAACGGTCGGAGGGTCTACCGACTCCAGCGGCTGGGAGCTGCTCGCGTGCTGCGCCGAGCCCTCTGGGAAGGGCCGGACCTCCCTCCCCCACCCACCCTGCCCGCCTGCTGTCCGTCCCCCGGGTCCCAGGGATGCACAAGCAGCCCCTGCACCTCCCCGGGGACCTCAGTCAGGCCAAGCTCAGCTGAAGAGCTGCATGCTGCATTTTACATGAGGAAGTCAAGGATCAGGGATAGACATCGGAAGCGGCAGAGATAACGTCTGCAGTGACACATTGGTGCCTTTTGAATAAGTGAAATACTAGCTGGGTTTCAATTAGGGAGCCCAGCAACCGAGCCATCAAAACAGATGGTTGGTCCTTTTGTCCTTACTAGCTGTACTCGAATTATAAGCAAGGTGTCATGCAGTAGTAGTAATTCTTGTTCATTATAAATTTAAAGGCAACCCCAAAATTGTGTTTATAGTATATACCTTTAAGTAATGCCAAGTGGTTCCCTTATATGTATTTGAGAAAATAGCTCCTATAGCGTGTAGCTTCTTCTTTTTTTTTTTTTAAAGGAAAAGTTAAATATGAAAATCAGGATTGGCTTATTGAATTGGTTTTGAGTTAAGTTAATCCTCGTACGCCATCATTTCTGTTGCTTCTTATAGTCCCATTTGTGTTTTTCTTTTTCCAGTTCCATTTCTTCTTAATTATTTACCTGGATCTCACATTCAAGCTATTAAAAATTGAAGGGATGAGCTTGTTCTTCAGCAGAATTAATATTTAAAATGGAATGGGATGGGCTCAAAATTGAAAAGAACTTTATATAAATACTTGAAAATTTGAGGAATTTTAAAGGCTTTTACACAATTGTGTCTCCTTCTAGTATTTATTAAGTGACTTCCTTTTATCCAAGAGTGTTGATTTAAAAAAAGCTTCCAAAACAGTGCACCGTGTAAATGTTGTCGCTGTTCCAACTTTTGTACTTCTGTTCATTTACAATTAGGCAGTTATTTAAATGTATCATGCTAAGCAAACATGAGTGATAACCCATTAATAGTAGGCAGTGTCCTGCATTTGTTTTATGTTTACACTAATTGCAGCATTTCACAATCTTGTCAGTTAGAAGATAACACATTAATAGTATCATAAAAAGTTCACTTTCATATTTATCATTGACAAGCAGTTGAATGATGAATTTCAAAATGATACTGTAACATAATTTGCATTTAGCCTGTTGAAATGTAATCTGGTATCTTCACGCAAATGCACCATTGCATTTTGCTATTGCAAGTCAGATTTTGATGACTGCACACAGAATAATGTGGTGTGCACATTCATTTAGGCTTTGAATGTGTAAGGCACAGATTTTCTTTGCCCCTTTTATTACTAACAGTGATAGTCTATTGCATTTAGAATTTCACAGATTAACATGGAGACCAGAGGAGACTGCAGAGCAGATTCTTTATTAGAGAGGCCTGTGGTTAAAAGCACAGGTCCAGGTCTACATTTCAGCCCCACCACTTACTTACGAGCTGTGTAACCTGGGCCAAGTTGCTTAACCTCTTTATGTCTTTCTGTTGTTGCTTGCTATAAAGTCAGTTCCCACTCATATCAACCTTGTATAGGCTTTAGAGACTTTAAATCCTTACTGAAGCAGAAAACTTCATCTTTCTCCCGCAGAGTGGCTGGTGGACTCAAACTGCTGACCTTGCGGTTAGCAGCCCAGTGCGTAACACACTATGCTACTAGGGTTCCTTTCTCTCTTCCTTAGTTTTCTCACTCATGAAATGGAGCTAATATTGGGATGTTGTGTGATTCAAGTGCAACAACCTGTGTAATACTATTTGTATATTTTATTGTTGTTAAGTGCCGTTGTGTCTGTTCTAACTCATAGCAAAGCCTATATAGTTTCGCAGGAGTAACTGGTGAATTTGAACCACCTACCTTGTGATTCGCAGCACCGTGTTTATCCCAGAGCACTACACCAGGTTTCTGTTGAGTGCACTGTAAATCTATAGTATAGTAAGCACTCTGTAAATGTTAGTTACTATTATTGTTTAAATACCTTTTACGATTGTACTGAATTCATAGACTTTTTAAGGCTTTGATTTGTGCTTATTAATATGGAGATCCTACTCAGCAAAGGTTTGGTGGCCTTTAAAAAAAAAAAAAAAAAAGGTTTATTATATTGCATTTCTTCGTATAGATACATGAACTTTTAGAAACACTTTTTGGTTATTGCCTCTGCCATTAGAATTAATGTTCAGTTAAACCTAACTCATATGAGTTGGTTTTAGTTTTATTACATTTAAGCATCTAGGAAAGGGAATTTCCCATTTTCACCAGCTGTTTTTTATCTAGATTGCTATCATTATTTTAAAACATACCAAGTCACAGAAATAATGCTGCCGTGTTTTTTGGTTAGATTTTTAAGATGGAAGAATTATGATTATTTGGCTATTAGCTGAGGTAGAAAAGGAATGGTCTAAAGTGCTGCTTTGTTTCTTTAGAAATTTAAATTGCTTATTCATTCAACATATGGAAATAACTGAAGATCAAGCAGAATCTTAACATTAATTGGGAGAAGGAAGAGGCCCTAACAGTAAATTACAGCTTTAACTATCCTGTGAGTTTAGGAGTTGGCAGCCTACATGACAGATAGCTGTGGAATAACTCCTCATTTAACCTTTAATCTTGTTCCTTAGCCATTAATGTCTTTTATGCATTGGTTTCTGGAGGTATTGTTTAACTTAAGATACATCTGATAGCCACAAAACACATGATTACTAATATTTTTGCTACATAGTGTTTCTCTATTTTTTAATTATAACTGATGGTATACTTGTTAGCCACAATTTGGAGGCTCTAGTGAAGTTGCCATAAGGAGCTCTGGTAAAGTAGTGGTTACAAATTGGGCTGTGAACCTCAAGGTCAGCAGTTGGAAACTACCAGCTGTTCCATGGGAGAAAGATGAGGCTTTCTGCTCCCGTAAAGATTTACAGCCTCGGAAACCCTGTACAGGGTTGCTGTGAGGCGGAACTGACTCCACGGCACATAACCACCACCAGTAAAGTTGACAGCATCTCTTGGAATTTTGTTTGCTTCTGGGAAGTAATAGAAGAGCTATTCTGTGATTAATTTTTCCTGTCTGCATAGTGTGGGGGTTCTCCATTGCCTGAGTTATGTCTGACATGCGCTGCCTGTTTCTGCTGTTAGCTCTTACCTTCCTCCTCTGACAGTGCTCACGTCACTTCTTCATGGGAAAATCCTGACCACTTTCTGCTGTCTCTATATATGGTAAGGATCCCTAGTGGTGCAGTGGTTAACTCTTCCACGGCTGACCACAGGTTGGCAGTTTGAACCTACTAGCCGCTTCACAGTAGAAAGATGTGGCAATCTGCTTCTGTAAAGATGACCGCCTTGGAAACCCTATGGGGCAGGTCTGCTTTGTAAAGTAGGGTCACTATGTGTCAACAACAGTGATTATTTTGGTCTCTGGTGTGTACCTCAAGGGTGGTTTAAACCATGAAGTTGGCAATTGAAATCCACCAGCTGTTCCTCAGAAATCCTGGACAAGGTTACTATGAGTCAAAACTGACTTAATGGTACTTAACAACAACATATAGGATGGGACCGCAGTGGCTTTGTGGGATAAGCACTGGACTACAAACCTCAAGGTCAGCGGTTCAAGCCCACTAGCCACTCTGTGGGAGAAAGATGAGGCTTTCTGATCTCAAAGATTAACAGCCTCAGAAACCTTCTACAGGATCCCTATGAGTAAGAACTGAGTTGTTATTGTTGTTAAGTGCCATCGAATCAGTTCTGACCCATAGCAACCCTGTTATAGGGTTTCCAAGGAGCAGATGGTGAGCTTGAACCGCCAGCCTTGCAGTTCAGACAGCTTTGCAGTCTGGCGCATTAACCCACAGCGCCGCACCAGGACTCCCAAGAACTGAGTAGACGGTACTATATAGGATGAGAGCGAACTGCTTTAGGCTGCAGCCTCACCCCCACCTTCCTGGCGACACACAACTCCCAGAGCTTTATGTGTGTAAGAACCAGAGATGGTTTTTAAATGCAGATTCTGATTTCGTCAGTTTTGTTTGGAACCTGAGATTCTGCATTTCTGGTGGTAATGCTGCTTGTTCACATAGTGGTTCTGTAGGATAAAAACTGGACTACTGACCACAAGATTGGCAATTCAAACCCACAGGAGAAAGATGTAATCCTCGATAGTGTCTTCATGAGTTGGAATCAACTCTTTGGCAGTAGATTTGGTAGGAGAGCAAGGGTTGAGCCCTGGTGGCACCATGAGTTAAGCACCTGGCTGCTAACAGCAAGTTTAGCCCTTCAAACTCACTACTCTGCTGGAGAAAGATAAGGTTGTCGGCTCCCTTAAAAATTTAGTCTAAAAAAACCTTAAGGAGCAGTTCCATTCTGTCCTAGAAGATTGCTATTAGTCAGAATTGAGTCAGTGGCAATAGGATTTATCTGTCTGTTTGTCTGTCTTATTTTACAGCAAGAGTTGGAAAGCATCAGTACAGGGTCAGGTAGTAAATATTTGAGGACCAGATGATCTCAGTCTCTGTCCTATTTCTATGCTCTGTCTTTGCAGCATGAAAGCAGAAAGTAGCCAAAAACCAGTCAAAAGGGTAGGGCATGTTTCAATAAAACTTTATATATAAAAACAAGCCTCCTTCAGCTGTTAGGAATAGTTGGCCGGAGGCCTGCCTGGTATGCCTCTTCATGGTCTCTGTGCCTGGCAGTCTTCTTAAGACTTCAGGGCTCATTCCACATTCCACCTTTGTCTCACATTTCATCTTTCCCTTCCCAGTACCATGTAGTAGGTCCTGGGCACTGTTTCAGTGTATCACTAATTATATTAAATGTTTATAGTTGAGTCATAATTGTGCCATTTCTTTAATTTGTTCAAATGTTACTTTTGAACATTCTCTCTCTTAGAACTGTCAGGAACATTACAAATAAGAAACAGCCCACTGCTGTCCAGTGTATTCTGATTCCTAGTGACCGCCTAGGACCGTAGAACAGCCACCACCACCCCTATAAGGTTGCAAGGCTGTAAACCTTTAGCAAAGTAGATTGTCACATCTTTCTCCCGGGGAAGGATGCTGGTGAGTTCAAACTGCTGGCTTTTGTCTTAGCAGCTGAGAATTTTACCACGTGCCACCAGTGCTTTTCTTGTCAGGAACAGAAATATTTCTAATTCATAAAAGACAGGACAAAGCTATTTTCCCCTAAAGCTATATAGGTTTTCTTTATATAGTTTTGCTTTCCGAATGAAGAATCTTTTGAAATTACAGTCATTTACTGCTAGAACATAAGACACCATTATAAGTTGTTGTTGTTGATGTCTAAGTGCTCTCAAGTAGATTCTGACCCACAGCGACCCTATACAGGGCTTCCAAGGAGCAGCTGGTGAGCTTGAACCACCGACCTTGCAGGTGATGTGACTTTGCAGTGTGACACATTAACCTACAGCACCACACCAGGACTCCTAGTTATTATTGTTGTTGTTATGTGCCGTGGAGTCGGTTCCGACTCATAGAGACCCTGCACGGGGTTTCCGAGGCTGTAATCTTTCTCCCACAGATCAGCTGATAGTTTCGAACTGCTGATAGTGAGATGGTTAGCAACTCGATTCGTAACCAGTACGCTACCAGAGCTCCTTTAGTTATCAATGTTGTTGTTGTTAGGTACAATCGAGTCGGTACCCATGGCGATCTTATGCACAGCAGAAGGAAATAATGTCCGATCCTGGGCCAACCTCACTACTGTTGCCACACTTGAGTCCATTGAAACTGCCACTTGGCCAGTCCATCTCGTTGGGGGTCTTCCTCTTTTTCTCTGACCCTCCATCTTACCAAACATGATATCCTTCTCCAGTGACTGTCCCCTCTATGTCCAAAGTATGAGAGATGAAGTTTAGCCATCTTGGCCTCTAAGGAGCACTGTGGCTGCACTTCTTATCATTACTTGACTTAAAATGTTTTATTTTTATCAAGTATATATAATAAAGTGATTAAAACCACAGACTCTAGATCTATGCTGCCTGAGGTAAAGTGTTATCATCTCTGCCGCTAAGTAATCCCGTGAGTTTGGGCAAATGACTTACCCTCTCGGCCTTTTTTTTCCCATCTGGAAAATAGGGTTATTGATAGTATGTACTTTATTGGAATGTTGGAAAGATTAAATGATTGAATATATGGGAAATGCTTACAGTAGTACCTAGCCCATGTTGTTATTATTAAGTGCTGTTGATCGGTTCTGACTCACAGTGAACCTGTATAGGATTTCCCAGGGGCTGCTGGTGGGTTTGAGAATTACTGACCTTGTGGTTCAAACCGACCTTGTGGTCTAGTGTTTGTCCTACAGCACCACACCAGGACTCCCATAGCATTTACTTTATCTGTTTGTGTTCTCTTTTATTATTATTATATCAGTCACATCTATGTATCTTTATATTTGATCATTATTAACTTCTTGAGCTTCCTATGGTCAAAACCAAACCTGAAGTACTTCATAAACACCTCAACAAAACCCATGAATGCTTTTTGAAATGGATAATTATTTAGCAATTTTATTTATGATTAATAAAATCAATCTGACCCCACCAGCCAATCCATGGGCGAAAGCTGTGGCAACTTGCTTCCATAAATATTTATAACTTCAGAAACCCTCTGGGGCAGTTCTGGTGTGCCTTGGAATTAAGTTGAGGGCATTGGGTTTTTATGGGTTATTTGTTGTTGAGTGCTGTTGAGTCTGTTCTGACTTATAGCATCCCTGTGTCAATTTTCCGAGGAACAGCTGGTAGATTTGAACCTCCAACCTCATGGTTAGCAGTCCAATACTTATCCTACAGCGCCATACCAGCTGCAAGGTTTTAGCCAGTCTGCATTCTCTCTTCCTTTGCCTGCTTGTTTTATCCTAGTTGGGTATGTATTCCTGTCCCTTCACCTGCATGGCACTTATGTTTACACACTTTTTCCAAAGTAGAATCTTCTGTTCAGAACTCATCTCTAAACTTACTTGTTCTAACAAGACTGGTCCACCTATTTCTTCTATACTGGTTGTTGTTGTTGTTGTTAAGTGCCGTTGAGTCGGTTCTGACCCATAGCGACCCTGTACAGGGTTTCCGAGGGTGTAAATCTTTACGGGAGTAGAAAGCCTCATCTTTCTCCCGCGGAGCAACTGGTAGTTTCGAACTGCTGACCTTGCGGTTTGCAGCCCGAATCATAACCTCTACATTACCAGAGCTCCTTAGAATACATATTTTACAAGATGGGAAAGCATTAGATTTTTCTGCCCAAAGTCCCAAATTTTAGACCTAATTTAGTAATTTAGACCCAGTGAAGTAATTGTATTTCTTTGGATAATTTGTGAAATCTCTTGAGGCCTTTTTTTGTTTTCCATGTTCTCATTGTTGGGTTTTTTCATTCTAAAGCAGTGAAAAATGTCTTTGATACCATAATGGTGTGTGGTCTTCCAAAGACCCTTGGTACATAAACAGGTATATGATATGTCTATGGTATTAAGATATCTTGGGGTGAGGGAAGATGAATTGTTTTTATTGCTCCTTTGGTGTGTGTATGCTGGTGATAACTGCAAAAGATTGAGAAACATTGCTTTAACTTACTTAAGGGAGAAATATTTTGCTCTGTGTATGTGAGAGAAAGAGAACCTATTATATGATTTCTTTCTCACGGAGCTTTTAGATCTGCTCCGTGATTCTCCGCTGTCAATTCTAAGTGCCTTGGGTCTGGCTTGAGGGCTGCTGACCTCTGCTGGTGAAGACTAAAGTGGCATGTTTCTGACTTCTGCTGATCCACTCTTTCATTAGAAAGCTCTAATAGTAATCCAAGGAATCTGACTCTGGTGTGGCACTGTGGGCTAATGCACCAGACTGCAAAGTCATTTTGAACTGCAAGGTTGGTGGTTCAAGCTCACCAGCTGCTCCTCAGAAACCCTATATAGGGTCTCTGGGCCGAAAGCGACTCAACAGCACTTAACAACAACAACAATAGTAATCCATGACCCCAGCTTTTCCTTCCCTACTGAGTCTGTATGCCCATCGTAGACAAGAACTTTATTATTTCTTAATTATTAGAAATAGTTGCAATTTTATGAAATATTTTCAATGAAAAGTTTTCTTCTCTGACTGGCCCCATATTTAAAACATTGCAGAATTCTGTAGTTGTTAAGTATCGTTGAGTTGGTTCCAACTCACAGTGACCCTGTATGGGGTTTCCAAGGTGCCCACCAGTCGCTCCTCGGAAACCCCATACTGGATCTCTGGGAGTCAAAACCAACTCAATGGCACTTGACGACAACAACAGATGTTTATTAGATAAATAGATTCCTGTTGTGCTGCTGTAGGATAAGCTCTGGACTGTTTACCACAAGGTTGGTGAGTCAAGCCCACCAGTCGCTCCTTGAAAACCATATACAGACAGGGTTCCTGTGAGTCAGAGCTGACTCACAATACCTAACAACATATTTAATAGACATTAGGTACACATTCGCATGTTTCTGAAGTAGGATGCAGCTTATGATTGATAGCATCTTTGATTTGAGGAGATACAGTACTTGTTTTAGACAGAGGTTTTGTTACCTAAAATGGAACGATCTTTGCCTAGTTGAAGCCAAAAAAAAACAACAACAACAAAAAAAACAAAGAACAAATAGGAACATCCAGGAGATGTAGAAGTGGGACTTGTCGCCACACTTCAGGAGTAACTGCAGCCACCTGGAAAGTCATCAGAATCACGACTGCTGTCATGGTCATCTTTGGGGCCTCATGCTTTCCTTCTCAAAAGCCAACTTTTCCTGCTTCATGGCTTCCATGTTAGAAAATAGCCCCTTAGCCCTAGCAGCCAGCTGGCCAGAGTCCCAGCGTGATGGTTCACAGTCCAGCTTGGTGAGCTGATCTCAGAGAAAGTAGAGACAAGGGCTGGGCAAAACCCCTGCAGAGTTATCTGCTGTACCAATATCCTTGTAACGTGGATTTTAAAGTTGCATTTTTTTAAAAATTGTGAATTGTAAATTGGGAAAACTGTTTTATTCCTAAGATTATAATTGTGGTTAAGTGCCACCAAGTCAGTTCCTACTCATAGCGGTTCAGTGCATTATCCCACAGTGCCACACCAGGACTCCAAGATTGTAATAATGTTGTTGTTAAGTGCTATCGAGTTGCTTCCAACCCACAGGGACCCTGTATAGGGTTTCCAAGGAGGGACTGGTGACCTTGAACCACCAATCTGGCAGTTCAAACTGACTTTGCAGTCCAGCGCACTAACCCACAGCATCACGCCAGGTTAGCTGAGTGTTCTAAGTCCTGGACATTTATCTAATCCTCAAACTCTTAAGAGATAAAACAAATTTTATCTTCCGTATTTGATTGATGAGGAAATTAATAAAGTCAGAGGCTAAATAAATTACCTAAGGTGGCATATCCAGGCATAACTTACCTAGTGGAAACAGGTTATAAACCCAGCTGTTGGTTTTGCAGAGCCATACTTCATTCCGAGAGTTCCCTTTCTGTTTCCTCACCTCCTATTTAGTATTCTTTGAGCATGATGACTCTGTAGGGTAAGCGCAGGACTTCAAACCACAGAGTCAATAGTTCAATCCCACCAGCCACTCCCTGGAAGAAAGATGAGATGGTCTGTCTGTTCCTGCAAAGACTTAAACCCTCTACAGTTTCTCTGTGAGTTGGAACCGACTCAACGGCACCAAACAACAACAACAGCATCTAGTAGTCAGCTTCTTAGGTGGCATAACTGGCTTGCATTTGGCAGTTCGAAGCCACTCAGTAACACAATGGAAGAAAGGCCTCATAGTCTACTTCAAAGCAACCCAGAAAACCTTATGGAACAAAGTTCAGTTTTCAGAAGCACATGGGGTTAACGTGAGTCAGAATTGCCTTCACAGCCACAGGTTTGGTTTTGGGTTTTATCCAGTATTCACCCTACTCTTATCAAGGTTTCATTTTCACCACTCCACTCAAGCTCATAAATTTCAAACTTCAGTAGACATTTATCTATCTTCTACTTACTTTTTTTTTAATGTTTTATTGTGAATTATGTGATATTTACTTGGGAGAACGTTAGTTTTACATTCATCCTATTGTATATCGTTTCATTGACATGGTTACAATCCCCTCCATGCATCATCAACCAACCAAAGGGTATACCCTGCAAGCCTGCCCCCTGGTCATCAGTACACAGCCCCTCTCCCCTTCTGTGTCTAAAGTCCCCAGCTGCTCCATCTCTCCACGTCTTCGTCTCTGCCTCCATCTCAGGCATCACTGCTTCTCTGGGTAGGGTCCCGCTCTACGCTCTTCTCCGTTGATGGTCCTAGGGACCTCTGCTCCTAGACTGGAAAGTTAATCACTCCCCTGCTTGCTACAAAACGTCTCCCTTTACATTTCCAACCCTCCCAATCAGTCCTGATAACAATTATTCACTATTGTATCACAAGAGACCCATCCACATTTCCTTTCATCAGCCCCGCCTAGACAGATTAGATACTACTCAGTGAAGATTCTACCTTCCTCCATGCCCTCTGGATCTAGGTTCCCTCTTGAAAGCTTGTAAGCCAGTCACTTCTTGCCTTTGTAGTCCCCCCACCCCCATTTTGGGTAGCCAATGGCCAAGTTACCCATCCCTGTCTCTACTCTGTGTGTGGAGGGGGTGGGAATGACCCTGGCTGTAAAGATTTGTTCCCTCTTTTGAGCTGCTGCATCCATAGTGTAGGTCAAGTTCATCAAATTGTATCAGATTACTCTTTTTTTTTTTTGTCTTCTGTCTTCTTCTAGTTGAGCTCTGATCATCCAGTCATTGAAGCCAGGTCAAGTGGGTATCATCTGCAAGTGTGGGGTCTTCTAATTACTTATAACTGTTAGTAATATTCAACAGAGATGACCACTGCCCCCTTCTTGAAGCACTTCCTTAATCTCAAAACAGTCCCCAGACAATCTGGTTGGTTGTTTTATCTCCTTGCTGATTTCGACTCTTCTCTGTCTTCTATTTTTAAATAGCTGATTTAGTGAGATATTCACGTGCCTTTTTTTTTTTTTGATAGAGTTTTTTTTTTTTCTTTTTATTTAATTAAATTTTTATTTTGGATTGAGTGAAA